GGGGCATGCACCATGGATGAGGTCAGATTGTTTATTTCTATTTCTATTTAAACATGGAACGGGCACAGTAAAATGGAGTAACTTGTTGTCTCCTTTTTCAACCACCGAATTCATGATAATCCCACAGATGTCTCGTCACAGGCAGACATCAAGAGGCCAAGGACTGAAAGACACTAGTCGCGCCCAGGCACCGCCAAGTCTCGCCGACTTTGCTCCTAGCGAATGAGTTTCTGTGCGGCTGGAAGATGCCAAGATGGTCTTGAAAAGCTAGAGAGGTGTGTGCGAGCGAGCACAAGCCGCCGTCAGGCACGTTCGGACTGGTAGCCGGCTGGACGATTGGCTGGCCGAAGCAGTCCTGCCGTTCTACGTGCTGCGGGGAAATGACACTTGAGGGCCAAGAGGAGCGGGGCGTGGGTTGTGGTGAGTGCGGCCAGAGGTGAGTGGTTCACGGGTGCGCCACCTTGCGGCATATACGAGGGTCACACAAGGGTTTGTGGGCGATCGACAACGCTACTCTATCCTTATTTCCTCTTCCAAAAATTCTCGACCTCAGAGCAAACTCATCAATGGACGAGACCCTGCACCGATCTCTTTCTCCGACAATATACATGGCTCTAAACCGCAAGGCAGCTGCCAAGAGGGTCTCGGAGCGGCAGCCAAGCTTCCCTCGGAAGAGCTGGCACAGGACAGCTCAACGCTTGCACGGGGGCTTGCAGGCCAATATTGGACCTAACCCGCTTCCAGGCAGACCCTGAGCGATTCAGGATGTGACGTCGTCCACCCCAAGGAACTGGGTCCTTTCCCGAACACGTTAGGAGTCAAGCTCTGAAAGTGAACGTGCATGTCCCTTTTCAGCTCGACGACGCCACAGCGTCTGACAAAGAAACGAAAAGGGCGGGGAGCATATCATCCCAACCCAACGATGGGCTTCGGCCATAAGAAGAGACCCAGGCCCAGGCCAAGTTAGACCTTGGGCCTGCCTTCTGTTCGTCCGTCCCTCGTCCCATCTGTATCTTCGTGGTCCTGGTTTGGGCCGAAGCTCTCTCCGTCTCTCGCACTTCCGACTCGCACTCTCACGTGCGTTGGTGTAGATAGCCGAACACAGCCAGACGATGCAACAACGTAAGGTGCTCGCCGCTCTCCTCGCGGGAGTGGCCACCTCCGCGGCTTGTGTCATCCCGCCCGGGACCCTCTCCGGCACTATCAGCGCGCCATTTAGGATCCAGGTCCAGAATGCTTCGCGTCCAGCTGTGCACAACCTGTACATGAACCTCTTCGTTGCCGGCGGCGGCGACCGACATCTGTTCATTGGGCCGGTGGGAGTCCCGACCTTCGACCTCACGCTTGTTGACGGTGTGATCAACCATGTGCCCGCCGGCGTCAGGGCAGTCATTGGTGGGGAGGTACGATGCCACCCCCTTCTTTTTGTCTTGCTCCCATTCGGGCGTTTCCTTTCTTTCCCTCGGGTGCATGAAAACTGACCTTATGTTATAGTTCTCCGACATCGACCACACCACCAAGCTGTTTATGACGGGCCGCGGCGATCCCCGTGCCATTTTCCAGCCAACATACGCCTGCAACCCCGATACGGACGCGCTGCAGATCGAGCTGGCCTTCGTCGCCTACCAAGATCATCCGCCTCCGGGCGGCTGGATCTGTGTCCGTCCGGCGTTTGAGAACTCTCACGAGTTCCGGTACTACCCTCCTGGCAATACCTGTAGGCTTCATTCCGTCTTCCTCGTGTTGAGCTGAAACTAACCCGTCACAAGTGGTCGACGTCAACCGTGAGTGCATCAAGGTGACCTTGGTTGCGCTCATTCAAGGCGCCACGACGCTGTCAACCGTCACGACTGCCTCGTCGACCTCTTCATCGCCGCCGTCGTCGTCGTCTTCCTCTTCAGCTTCGCCACCCACTACATCGACAACCACCACCGCAGCCTCGTCATCTTCGTCGTCGTCGTCGTCCTCCTCCTCCTCTGAAAGATCCTCCACCTCATCCACAACCTCCTCCGCCCCAGCAAACACCAATACCGTCCTCCCCTTTACCGACAACACGGCCTTGGGCTGGCGTTTCATCGGCTGCGCCCCAGAGGAGCGCCGCGTCACCCCGCCCGACGCGCCAGTCCGCACGCTACCCTCAGCGCTCCTCGCCGGCGACGACCTCACCAACGCCAAGTGCATGGCCTTCTGCGGGGCCGCCGGCTACACCTATGCCGGGCCCGAATGGCGCCGCGAGTGCTGGTGCGCCAACTCGTATCTTCCCACGCGCCAGCCGGCCACCACGCTTGCCAGCCTCGCCAACTGCAACTACAAGTGCGCCGGCAACGCGGCCGAGTACTGCGGCGGCGATGCGTGGTTGAGTCTCTACCAGAAGTGCCCTGCTGGTGGGCCCTGTGTAAATGCGGTGTTTACTTAGCTGAGAGGGAAAAGGGGGAAGTTGGTTGAGCCGGTGAGATGGACGGAGGCAAAGCGGTGTATACATATTTGCCCGCTGGCTCAAGTCTCTAACCTGGTAATTGTTAATTTGACGGCGTCTTGACTATCTATTATGGCTCGAGATTTATTCAGCGAGATGAACAAATATGAGAATCATTTGTCGTTCCAGTTATCGAAGCTGATAGTGAACTAAATAAGATGACAAGTAACAACCTACTATTAGTCTCCCAGACTGAAGTTATGCCTCTTGGACGATTAGAACACCTGTTTATTTCACAATCAGGCCTCAGTCCACGCCTTTCATTTTAAACTAGGCGCTCTGCAGTGTCATTTCGAAGATGCTGGCGATAGGTTTGACTTATGATCGATGTTTTAAATCTGAGGTTGCATTCTAGGCGATAAGGCGTTATCGTCGACCTCGGGAAATATAGAACGCATCTGGAAATCTGCATGGCCTGTTTATATTTAGGGGTTCGGCATAATACCCGGGCTTCCCTGGAAACGTAGCTTGATTTAAGGAGAATATTAGTTCTGTGCCATATTTCTGCCTATAGGATTTCGCTGCATAACGGTTCAGGTGCAAAACGAATAGTAGAATACTCGGTTCAAAACAAACAAACCGTATTTTGTCTTTTATACCTTGTTTCAAACCTCGGCGTGAAAGGGGCAAAACGGCCGGCTGACTCTGAGGGCAGTGTTGATAGCGTGTTGCGGGTGGCGCCGCAGACGCCACCGGAAAAGACGCTGCGTCCCGAGATTATGAAAGCCGATTGACTTTGGCGGCAGTGAGACTGTGGAAGCGGAAAGATGGACATGTGCTTGTACAACACTCTGAGACAGTGGTGATCGGATGGCTGCAGATGATTGACGCTGGCGCAGAAAAAGACGGGAAGCCACAAAACTATTTAGGCATGGTTCGGTTCGGGTTGTCGATGCAACAGTTGCAATTGCGATCATTGCGACATGAAAGGCGTTGCTTCCGTAATTGACGGTTGGGATGGAATCAGGATGGAATCAGGATGGAATCTGCAGTTGCCGAGAACAGAGCAGATAAGATTCCAAAATTTGCGCCTCCGAATCTTCCCCGAATGTGCTTAGTATGGGCATATTAGCAAGCGGCATTTGGAATCTTCTTTGGCATCTTTGTACGCAGCGCTGTAGTGGGCAGAGCACCAAAACTGTCAGCCAGGCAGGGGCCGCCGCGGAAAAAGAGTCCAAATCTGTTCAATCGGGCAACCCCGCGATCGGGAATCCCCAATCAACAGCAGCGACGGCTGTGGCCCCTGGTGGGGCGCTCCTGCCCATGCGCTCGGGACTTGGTCGCGTCATCGGGGGCACTGACAAATGCGCCAAAATGGCAAATGCCTTCCTTACATCATCCATGCATCCAGAACACTCCACCCTTTCGATCTGAAAGAAAATCTCTCCCACGTGTGTAGCTTTGCTGTAGTATATTTATCTTGCTCTCCCCCACCATGTCACCATCACCCCTCCCCTCTTCAATGTCATCGAGACTCCTCAGAACTGCCCTCAGAACCCGCAGAGTACCGCGAATTCCAATACACTCCATCGCACCGCGACATTTCACCACAAGCTCAGCCAAAATGGGTGTCCACAACATCGAGTCGTGAGTAGCTGCTCTGCCCGCGCTGTCCCTGCCTTTGCAAATCGCCCCCGCGCGCCAGTTGCTGACCCTGCTCTCCAGTCTCACCGACTTCAAGCGCACAATCGCGTCTGAGGACAAGCTCATCGTCGTCGACGCGTTCGCGACATGGTGCGGCCCTTGCAAGCAGATTGCTCCCCTCGTCGTCAAGTATGTTTTGCCCACAGCCCTACACCCCCCTACTTCTTCAGGACAACCGCTGACCTTTCTTGCTGCAGGTGGTCCAACTCTGATGAGTTCAAGGACAAGGTCTCCTTCGTCAAGTTCGACGTCGACGACGTTCCCGACCTCGCCCAGGAGCTCGGCATTCGCGCCATGCCCACCTTCATCTTCTTCAAGAACGGCGACAAGCTGGCAGAGTTTGCGGGCGCCAACCCCGGAGCTCTCCAGGGCCTGCTCCGCAAGTACACTGTCGTCGAGGGCGAGGAGACAAAGGAGGCTGCCGAGTCCAGCAAGGAGACCAGCCCCGAGGCTGACAAGGTCGACAAGGAGTAAGGGAAGACAGCGGCTAAAGAGGCAAGAGGCAAGATGAGGCGGGCTCAGCACTAGCTGCGACAGGGAACGATACCCTGGTAGCCCTGTATATTTCACAATCACGACATATGGGTCGGTTGGGGTGCATTTTAGGCGTCGTAGACTTTTCGGGACAAATGAACCTTATCGCAAGATAATAACCACCTCCTTTCTTTTTTTCCCCGCAACCACAGTGACAAACAATGCATTGGTGTGCTACAAACCTCCGACCATGCGTTTCTGAATGGATGACAGGTGTTCAAGTGCTTCCACGACACGTAGTGTAGCGGAGGAATATTCTGAGGTTGGAGAATTGAAGGTAGTCCTCCGGGGTCATGGTCTGGTCGTCATAACGGGCAAGTGGATCTTACGCTCTCAACCAATAACAGGGCCGCTGGTCTAGTGGTATGATTCTCGCTTAGGGTTCACCCAAAGTTATCTTGCGAGAGGTCCCGGGTTCAATCCCCGGGTGGCCCCCATTTTTTGCAGGTTCGTTTCTCTCGCTTGTTAAGTATTTTGACCGCACGTAGAGAAACAAATATACTCGTGTTTGATGTACTGGCGGTTTTCTGTTTTCTCTATTATTGGAAATTTTTTACCCATCTCTTGAATATGTCTTGTAGCCCTTGGCTATGTGGTACTCGGACCAATCCCATTACCCCCGTCATCCCCAAATGCAAGCAACGGATGCTTCATTTCCAGGGTTTCGTCTGAAGTCGACAAGCGTGCACGGGAGATCGCCCTGCGCTTATTCAGTTACCGTTATTACCCTGTTTGCCAGATTCCCAACCAAGAATCCAGCCAATGCGACCCCTTGAACTCCGCTGGGTTGGAACGGGGACGCATAATCATGGACGTTTCATCGTGGCGGCATGTCGACGAGACATCGTCTTCAGCCGCCAATAGTTCCGAGCGAAAAGAAAACGATAAACTGTCATATCGAGCTTCATTTCCTTTTCCTAGAATTGCACAAAGAAGGACAATTTGGAAGCAAGATCACGAACTGCCTGCTACTTCCCTACGTCGCCGTGACGGTGCTGACCATACTGGATCACTACGCGTCTTCCCTACTCTTTGCTGGTGAAGAAAGACGACTCCGAACTCCTCACCGCTGCTCGTAGATCAGAATGCCGAGCTACGAGCCGACCCCGAGACGCTTCTCGATGCTCTCGGTGTCTCGCTCGGCATCGCGGAGAAACAGCATCGACGATACTTCGAGACCAAGTCTAGCGGATGACGCCTCAGCCGTACAGGCCGTATCGTCGCCGGTTGACCTGGTTAGTGCCCTCAAGCACTTGCAGCATGTCCAGGACACGGCCGAACCCGAAGGAGAGCGAGAAAGGGGTCGGAGTAGGCTACAGGGTGATGGAGGTAGGGGGTCGAATGACGGCTCAATTAAGGTGCCCTTTGCCAAGAGAGAAAACAGCGAGAGCACCCGCAAGCGCATTGCCATGTGGGAGGAAAGAAGTCGGAGCCAGAGCAAGGGGCGCAGCAAGAGCAGGGGAAGAGATCTCGGCGCCGGAAGCAGGATAAGCGTCGTGCCCGAGGTGCCTGAGATTGCGGCAGCCTTCTTCCTGCTTCAGCAGCAAGAGAAAGATCGCCTTTTGAAAGAGCAGACCAAGAATGACGCGGATGGTGTTATGGCTGGGGAAGAGGAGGGACCACAAGGCGAAGAACTCTTGCCCAACCAGTTTCCGCCGTCACAACACGGAGACATCGATGCTTTTGCGGTTGGAGTCGAAAGACTTCACAGCGAGAACCTGCCACTTGATGTTACAGACACGGAAGACATTGAGGAGACGAGTGGAGACACAACTGTTGTTGAGAGCCTTGATCATTTGGACGAGACGAGACCACCCATTATCGAAGTCGCAGCCCACGAGCACAAGCACGAGCAAAAAGCGCATGATTACCACGAAAGTGACCTCAGCCCACGCAGTATACCTCTGACCCAGAACTTTGAAAGTCAGGAGGACAACATCAACCACGGCGATGACAAAGTTCAGATCGAGTCCTTCCAGAGGCCACGGACTCCAGTGCGAGTTTCCCCTGAATCCTTACCGACACCCGACACAACGCCAAAGCCGATTCCGCCAATTCGCCCTGGAAGAGTCATTGGAAAAGCTACACTGCCAAATTCTCAGTCTTTACGATTGGACACCCTGGATCCGCCTTCCTCAGAAAACAAGGCCCAGGACAATGAAAACGGGCAAAGGGCTTCCACACCGCCATCTCTTCCATCTACTCCAGTACAGCCCACTGCTACCGCTGCCTACCACCCACCTACGCCCGAGGCTACACCCAGAAACACTGTCAAGGATGACAGAGCACAAGCCGAGCCAGGACCAGGAGATGACGGAAGCCTTACCACATCTCCTGAAATTCCGTATACAGCCTTATCAGCAGTTCCCCCGAGTCTGGAGGCAGCGGCGTGGAGTGACGAGCTCCGAAGTGGTTTTCATCTGCCTTCTGGGCTGTTGTCAGACACCACGTCCGAACAAGCTCTACCGAGACCAAGAGTGGCCCCCACAGTAAAGCTAGAGCCACAGCAGCAAAACGCAGACTCCCGGTATCACGACATCTGGAGAGTGACAGATTACGCACCCGAGTTCCCGCTGCCGTCACGGCCGCCCACTCGACAACAGATGGGCCCTGGCCGACTTGACTTCAACGGGAACCCTCTAGCAGAGCCACAGAGGAGCCAACTGTCAGCGGAAGCCACTCCGTACCAGCCGCAGGACGCACAGAACCCGTATCCCTACGCTCAAGCGACATCAGTAGGCCCCACCGCTGGACAGTGGGTCGTCAACATCCCACCGACGCCCTCAGCAGCCTACGTCCCCGACGAAGAGGCTACTACTCGACGCGCGAAGCCAAGGAGCCGGAGCAGAGCTGGCAGCGCCAGGCGCGGCGGAGCTAGGCAGCACATTGAGCCCCACCACGCACCCGAAAGACACGAATGGGATGCCCCGCCGGTGATCGAGCGCGCCATCCACGCAGCATCCGTCAGCATGATCCAGGGGTTAACGGTGCCGGTGGTGCTCTACCGTGGGCTCCGTGACATGTACTACCCTCCGCCTGGACGGCCCGACATCATCAAAGCATATCCCGTTCGTCGGCGGTTACCCATTCGGTATGAGTCTCTGCCCCTATTCCCCCCTCTTAACAAGCCCAGCTAACTGTGATTCCCAGCATCTTCTTCCCCTCGCACCACGACATGACATCCCCCGCGCTCCTCCCAACCCTCTTCACCCTGCACGGCGGAGGCTTCACGGTAGGAGGCTCCGCCGACGACGACATCTGGAACCGCACCTTCGCCGACGCCTACACCGTGCTCGTCATCGCGCTCAACTACGCCAAAGCGCCCTGGGCCTCCTTCCCGCACCCGCTCCTCGACGCCGAGGCCCTCTACCACGCCGTCCTCAACGACGAGTCGCTCCCCGTCGACCGCATGCGCACCGCGCTGTGCGGCTTCGACGCGGGCGCTAACCTCGCTCTCGGGCTCGCCCAGCTGCCTAGCGTGCGCACAGGGTGTGACCCGCTTGACGCCCTGCAAAACGCCAATTTCCCCTATTTCGCCCGGCAGCAACCCCCGAGGTCGAACCCCCCGCCCGCGGCGGTCATCTCAGTCTGCGGGATTCTGGACTTCAGCGCACCGGCGTCGCGCAAGGGGCGCACGAGGCCGTATAAGCGGCAGCTGCGCGGGCCGCGGGGCTGGGGCCCGGGGCTGGACTGGATGGCGCGCATGCTGCCATCGAGCGCGTGGAGCTACATCCCGTACGGACACGACGTGGCGGATCCGCTTTTGTCGCCCGCGTACGCGGCCCGCGCGGACCTGCCGCCGCATGTGTTTGTCGTGGCGGCCGAGCTGGACTGTCTTGCGCACGAGAGCTGGCGGGCTGCGTCTGTGTGGGCAGGCCGCGCCATACCGGATACGGATGTTCCCGTCGGGAGGCGGGGGCCGAGTCGCTGGCGTGGATGTCTAGATGATGGCACCGGGGAGAACGGTACCAAGTTTGGCTGGAGCGAGACGCATGGATCCAGCGGCGGCAGTACGAGCTGGCTGCTGGTCCCGGACGTGGTCCATGGGTTTGATTCGGCTGGTTGGAGAAACAAGTATCTCTGGGGAGATGAAGAGGCGAGAATGGATGCGGAGATGAAGACCATTGCGTATCAGAGGGAGCTGGCCGAGTGGTTGTGGGGGGTCGTGTGGCGATGAGGACTGGCCGGAACATGGAAAGGGGGCGGGCTGTAAATTTCACGGCGAGGTGTTGGTGACAAAACCCCCTGGTAGGGTCCGATGGGCCCTATACCTGTTGAACATTGGAGGTGATTCTGTTTATTCTTTCCTCTACGCAGTGACAAGGGATGGAACTCAAGGAGAAGAAAAGCAAACAAAGTCATATTATTGGGTAAAAGGATAAAAACGCGGTTTCTTCTACCAAAATTGTGTTTGATGTTCCAAGCAGAGAACAAGAAGTCATTAAAGAATCCAGGGGCTGTTTGAACCTGAAACTTGAAGACCAAAAAAAGGAAAATACATCAAAAAGCTGAGATTTTAGCAGCGACTCGTTTCGATCGAGTGACCTCCGGGTTATGAGCCCGGCGCGCTTCCACTGCGCCACGCAGCTTGCCTGATGCTTGCTTGGTTGAGGTTTGTGAGTCAGAGAATGAGCAGTAGTTTGGTGAAATCGAATTCAACTTTTGAAAGTGGAATTGTGTGTCTGTGGATCATCATTTAGGCTTTCGGCCCTTGGTTTATCCATCTGGACGAAACGGGATCCACTTCAATCACGGCCCTTGCGTTTGTCCATTTCGCAGGGGTGAGAACATCACCATTTGCGCTGTATTTATCACAAGAGGAATGGTTGTGACCTAGGTCACGTGCACACAGATCACCAAACCGGGCAGCAAACCCCAAGGAACAATCGCAAAGACCAACCGTAAGAAACACCTCATGGCTTGCCGTTATTGCATCCAGGTCATGGGAGATTTTTGATGTCCTATCAACAAATAATAGAATGTACCTAGTTCTGTTGAATTCCTACTAGCCGTGATCGTCGCACTAGAATACCTCCTTTTCATTTCGTGCCGCGAAGGAAAATACCGAACAATGCGTCGAAAAAGAAGGCGAAAAGGATACAGTAGCTTGCTTGATTCAAGCTTCTATGAAGCATCTTCGTCTTCATACACCACTCCCTCTCCTGACGTTCACCCTTTTGTAGCTCTCGGGCGCACTCTGCATCCAAGCGTGCTGAGCTGCTCGGAGCTCCATAGGTCTGCTCGCCAAGTTTCGTCAAAAAGACGGCGCCCTCCTCGTAGTCAGTCTCGTAGCAATGAGCGACTGTGGCCCACAGCGTGATTTCTCTGGCGCGGTTAACATGTCGCTGCGAAGAAAACTCCTCCGTTAGCGATACGGAAGCAATTAGGACAGCGAAATAAGGGCGCGTCCCGACTTACCTGACGAAGACTGGCGC